ACGTTTCGGTCTAATAAACCATCTTCAGGACATATTCATAAATACATTCATTCATTCAATACAACATGTCAAAGACGATGTACATAAGAACAAGACTTATCCAAACAAATAACAGTTATTTTGTATTTTCCGTATATATTTTTCTTCATATATATATATATATATATATATATATATATATATATATATATATATATATATATATAGTGGAGTCTACCGTCGTATTCGACGTATGAGCGTCCTTGGAACCGACAGCACAAACACCACCATATATGCTTTGAATATATTGGTGAAGGTTTGTGCAGGACCATCCACACATTTTGAACCCCAGATTTTGAATTCAGAGTTGTCCTTCTCCTAGATCAGTTGCCATCCAAGTCTGCCCTGCTATTCTCTCATAACTGAAGGGAGAAGAAGGGATTAATAACTTTCCCAAGTGTATTATGTAATGGATTCGACTGGAATTCGAACTCGGCTCTCCGATTCCTCAATCCGAGCAGCTATCCAACAAAATCCTACCTAAATATATATATATATATATATATATATATATATATATATATATATATATATATATATATATATATATATATATATATATATATATATATATATATATATATATATATATGATAGATAGATAGATAGATAGATAGAGAGAGAGAGAGAGAGTGAGAGAGTGAGACTGACAGACAGAGAGAAGTAGGCAGGGTGAAATAGAACATAGATAGATATGACTAGGGCAGATAGATCGATAGATAGATAGATAGGAACAGCCTAGGATAGATAGATAGATAGATAGATAGATAGATAGATAGATAGATAGATAGATAGATAAAAGGCAGACTATAATATACATTAAACAGATAGGTCATAAACAAACTGTGTGACTTTCTCTAACTCTCTAGTGACAGAAAAGTATCAAATTACTTCATTTTACCCCGGATATATTCCCTACTGTTTGCCACACCCCAGAATTCGTTCCAAATGCTTAATAATCCCTGTTGATGAAACTTGTATTAATTTCCTGATCATCGAAACTCTGATTTTTTTTATATATCGAATGCCATAATTTGTATGAAAAAATATCGGTAAAAATAATCCACAGATCTACCTCAGGGCTCACTTCGAAACAGTAATCAAAACAATAAAGATGATGATCCTTGTAAAAAAAAAACATTTATTTCTAACTTTAATAAAATGTTCTTATTGAATCATCATGATCACTGGACCCGGAATGTCCTGAGGGTCGTTAGGGCACCATATTTACTGCAGCATCAGCAGCAGTGTTTTTTCTTGGGCAAGACAGTCTGACGTGGGCCAACTTTCTCTAGGCTTCTTTGAATTAAGACTTTTCCTTCTCTTTGACTAGTCTCCACCCAAGGCTTTATGGATTCATACCTAACACGTAAGTGAATGTAATGAACTAGACTGGAATTCGAACTCCGTTCTCCAAATCATCAATACAAGCAGCTATCCATCCGCTGGAATAGTTATCAACCAAGGCTGTACGACACAGCCAGTGTTGCAATTCACACATAGCTGGAGGGAGAATAGATGAATTCATATCTTTCTAAAAAGTATTAGCATATAAGTGAATGTAATGAACGCAACAAGAATTCGAATTAGGCATCACGTTACCTGAATCCTTGTCTCTTTGAATATTATAATTCTTTGTTTCTTTTCTTTTTTTTTTTATATTTCAATGATTGGACTCATTTTTTGGTAAGTTTGTCTTTCATCTTGTTTCTGTTACTTTTCATCACAAGTCATGATATTATTTTTTTTTTAACTTTCTGGATCAGAACCAATCCATAATTCAGTGGGATTAACAATTGACAATCATTTGATTAATCCAACTAATCTACGTTCGGTGTTTTCTTAACACCTGTTAGGTAGACTTGTATAAAGCAGAATAAAAAGAAAGATCTCAAAAGCCTGTTTCTATCGCTGTAGACTCTTCAAACACAGAAGCTCATAGAGACAAGACGTGTCTCGTTTCCTTTCCAGAGAAAACATTTACAGCTTAGGCAATCTCACGTTTTAGGCCCAATCAATGTATGTGAAAACGAATTTTTTTGGAGGTCATAAAAAATTATTTAAAAATAAAAAAGAAACAAACGTTTAAGAAAAAATCAAACGGAGAATTTTGTGGTGACCTATCTACATTAGAGTGAAGTCTTCTTCCTTCATAAATACTAACCTGCGAGACTTCCTAAGCAGGCAGTCGACCCACAGTCTCTGACGGTGTGCGTCTTCTATCGAACTCTCTGCTTTGACAGAGAGGAACCCGTACGAAGCTACGCCGAGGGGCAAAGTTTCGTCCAGGAAAATAGACCCAAATCCGTTTAGACGGGTTCTGTGGGGATATTTTGGCCGAGCCTACGGGCTCGTTGAACCCACAGTAAACTCGGCCTTGTGCCACATACATTCCTTGTGGGGGGACTCTTAAATATCGGCAGTCGGGACGCAGTGTAACCTGACAGTTCGGACGGACACTTCTATCTGCTGACTAATAACTCTCTTATTTTGTGTATATATATATATATATACATATATATATATATATATTTAAGCATTAAGCCCCAAGCAAGGCGTGAAGCCACTAGGATGCAGGGGGTTGCAGAAGATTTGGAGCGAGAGCAGATAGGAGTGATAGAAGAAAGGATGAGGAGAAGAAAGGATGAGGAGAAGGATAGTGGGTAGATCAATGTAACTGGAGATGTCGATTGACATTACATTTTGAATAGTTGGAGATTATAGCCTTCAGGAAGCAGTAACTGGGGAGGGTGTTCCACTGGCGAGAGGTGCGAGGTATGAAGCTATTGGAGTAGAAGAGACGGCTACATTTGAGAGTTTCTACGGTGTGAGGGTGGGAGCAGGATGCCAGCCTCGTGGGCGCTTGAATTCATGGAGTCTGGGAACCAGTGAAAGCAGCTCGTCAGAGCAGTTACCATGGAAGTATTTGTAGAAAAGACAGAGAGAGGCGACGGCGCGTCTGTAGAGAGAGTGACTGTAGACGAGACGCCAGATCAGGGCCAATAAGATTACATATCCATCTCTGGATCTTGTCAAGAACTCCGAGGTAAGCAGAAGGTGCCCCAGCCCATATATGGCAGCAATAATCCACGCAAGGGCGAATGGTTGTTTTGTATATTTGAAGTATAGATTCAGGGGAGAAAAAATTCCTGGCGCGGCACAAAGAGCCAACTTTCCTCGCGGTGGAAGAAGCAATTGACTCAATGTATTTGTTCCATCTCAGGTCAGCAGTCAGCGTGAGACCGAGCAGACGCAGGGAGTTGCTCTCAGGAAGTTGACTATCAGACATTATAATGGGGGGCAGGGAGGGATCTCTATGGTGGTTAATGGAGAGTAATTTAGTCTTAGTGGCGTTAAAGTTGACCAGCCAATTCTTGCCCCAGTTAACAACCGATTGGAGGTCCATTTCGAGACGCACGGCCAGATTTGTTTTGGAGGCAGGAGTGACTTGTGGTGTCGTCAGAATAGATGCCAACTTGGGAATCTATAGCTTCGGGAAGGTCATTGATGAAAATAAGGAAAAGAGTGGGGCCAAGGATGGAGCCTTGAGGAACACCTGCGTTCGTGGGATAGGAACTGGAGGAGAATCCGTTGAGAACGACCTTCAATTCACGGTTTGACAGAAATGATTGTATCAAATCAAACAGTTGACCAGTAACACCATACCCCTGGAGCTTACGAAGAAGGCCGGCGTGCCAAACCCTATCGAATGCTTTGGAGATGTCGAGGGCCACGGCACGAGCCTCTCCGTTATTTTGAAGGGCTTGGTAGACGGTTTCAGTGATGGTCGTAAGCACATCAGCTGTGGATCGGGCGTAGCGGAAACCATATTGCTTGTCTGAGAGCAGATTATGAGATGTAAGGTGATTAATTACTTCGGCATTGATTAGGGCTTCGAAGACTTTGTATATATCTTCTGTTATTTCAATACACTTGTTCAACGTACCTTCTTCTTTCCGTGTGTTTCATTCTGCCCCCCCCAGGCCATAACAGTAACGTTGTTATTTTTAATTATATTTTCTAATCATTTTTAATTATTTGTTATCGGTTATTATTATTACATTTTCTTGTGTTTATGTGTTCAGGTTGTATATTTTTAATCATTTTAATCTTTTTTTTTAATCTTAAGATTAAAAATGATGGTATTTATCAATTCACCCACAGGAATTGAATGTGGCACAAGGCCTTTTTAATGTGGGTATGTCTGAGCCCGTAGGCCCAGCCAAAAATAAAACCCATCTAAACCCGACCAAGCGGGCTGGTTCCGTCAACCTCCCCGAACGAAAACCCCACCCTTCGGCGGAGCTTCGTCCGGGTTCCTCTCTGCAAGCAGAGAGTTCGACGAACACCAGCTCGGCAGCTCACAAAGCGCAGATACTACACTTTGATCCTAGCCACCGGGCCGAGCGGGTATTCTTTTTTTAGATATAATAAAAACGAAAAACTCAACACTTAATGATATTAACTACGAACACGGCCACAATGTGCTGACTGTGTTCAAAAATAAAACATCTCTATAACTCTAAAAACATATACCCAACCCAGATACACAATTAAATTAAAAAAAAATCATCCTAGATAATGATAAAAGTATAGCTAAAAGCGCTCGGAATTATAGAATATTTGAAAAAGAGTCGGGCCAAGGATGGAGCCTTGAGGAACACCTGCGTTCGTGGGATAGGAACTGGAGGAGAATCCGTTGAGAACGACCTTCAATTCACGGTTTGACAGAAATGATTGTATCAAATCAAACAGTTGACCAGTAACACCATACCTCTGTGTCCAAAAAGAAAACACTTGTTCGAAGGGCAAAGTTTTGTCTGGGGAAGTAGACAGGCCTTGGACCCGTTTATGCGGATTCTAAGGGAATATCGGCCTTGTGCCACATACATCTCTCGTGAGGTTGGTGGGTGCTGTTAAATATAGCAGTTGCGACGCAGTGTAACCAGACAGTTCGGATGGACACTTCTATCTACTGACTAATAACGCTCTTATTTTGTATATTTTCCATTATTTCAATACACTTGCTCAACCTACCTTCTTCTCTCCATGTTTTTCTTTCTGCCTCCTAATAGGCCACAACAGATATTTACATTTTTGAATTAAAGAAAAAAAAATTAAATAAATTATCAAACGTATGTTTGTTTAAGATGAATAATTGTTAAGTTTAAATTTTTGTGTATGTGTGTTATTTGGTGTGTTTTTCTTTTTTTTCTTTTACAATGCTGTTTACACTGTACAAGGCCTGGAGGTCAGGCGAATTAAAAGGTTACAGAGTAAGAGACACAACTCACGATTTAAACAGGTTATAAATGTAGTGATCGCAAGAGCAATCGCTTGGGAGTCAGTTCCACAAACAGTCGGTTTGCGGCAAAAAGCTGTTCGAGTGCGATTTACATCTAACCAATGGATTATGAGGCGTGCTTCACAGAAATGTCCATGGAATTGAGGTTATTCGCCATGAGGGTTAGAACACGCGAGACTGGGAATATAGCCCGACAAAACTATGGTAATAGCGATAGAGCAGTAAAAGACTTGCAACGTTTTAAGTATGAGAAAATGGTTGTTGGATAGAAAATAGTTCTTGTCCACATATAGCAACAGTACCCCATTTTCGTTCTGATCTGGATCTTTTAAAGGTAGAGGTTAATAATCAAGTATTTACTGAATCGGTACTGAGAACTGACCATTTTTTAGTATCCGAAAAGAAAGTCCTGTACAGGAAACGTTTAAACGTTTTAATCTATTGTTTTTAATATATGAACATTTTTAAAAAAGTAAAAAAAAAAGTCAGTCAAATAAGACAA